TATCAGTGCTTTCGAATTTTACATACTATTTCTGTAATATAAAATTAAAAACTAAAAATAAAATGTTAAGTCAAATTAAGCTGGATATATTTGTCTGTCTTATATTTGTGTAGTGCTTCAGAGTTTATAAAGTATGTTTACATGCGCCACTTAATTCTTACACTAACCCTATGTATCTTCATTTTACCAAAAAGGAAATGGAGGCAATAGATGGTTAGGTAGTTGTGCCCAAGGTCATTCAAATAGAAAGCTGGCAGAGACAAATTTCAAATCCAGGTCTTCTAACTTCAAATTCAGTGCGTTATCAAAAACATGATCATTGCTTCCTTAATTTTAACAATTCTTCGGGAGTTAATCACACAATCAGAATTGACAAATGAGTTAAAATTACAGAGTATAAGGCCTCAGTCCCTAATACTCATATAATCAGATCTTACTAAAAGGAGAATATTGGCATACACCCCCCGAAAGTCCAGAGTCAGAAGAGGGTGTGGATTTTCAGTATGTTCCCAAATAAAATACATAACTGGCAAAATATATATCTAATATGGCCTAATATGAATGCATAATAAAAGCAGCATCCTCTCAAATTTCAAGATTCTCACTTTCAAGACAACTTTTGCCTTTGGTCCCAGCATTTACTTGTGTTCTGGTTTTGCCATACCCCAGGGTGTCTCCAATGGAATTTTAAAATATGAATAAGCTATACTTTTCAACGAAGGTGTGTGTGATTATGTAACTTTCTTAAAGTTTGGAACTTATTGACCAAGATGATAATAACCTGGTTAGAATATATTTTTTCTCTCCAAATGTCTCTCCTTCTTCCTATAAGACTATACAGGTTATTTTACAATGCACATGGAGAGCAAGGATAAATCATGGTTTGGTAGAAATATATTTTAATTCATCATTCCTCAAACTATGTCTCATATAATTCTGTTCCAAAAGATGTTTAGGTATGTTGCAGGGGCAGGGGAGCAAGAGGGAGGGAGGAGAAGCCATGGTTAAAAGCAATGTACTCTTTTTGGAGATACACAGTTCACAATGGACAATAATATAATAAGGCTCTAGAGAAGTCTAGCATTACAGAAACCTTTGTTTAAACCAGTTTATTTTGACACAAAATTCTTCTACTATAACTATTCACATTTTGTGTTCAGAAAAACTGTTTGAATAAATGTAACTATTAATTAAAACCCACAATAGATGTGGCAAAAATGCATAATTCTTAAATCTCTACCACAAAATACTAACTCTTCAAAAAGTCCCTAATTTCAGTCTAGTGAATTTCCTCTTCACCCACCAATGTCTAGCTCAATTATCACCTTATTTGAGAAATTTCCCCCCAGTGCTCCTTTCTCCTTATTTAGATAGCATTTTAGTTATATATTACCTCACTTATCATATGATAAATCAGTTCATCTGTCTCCTTGCTCACTTGTTAGCTCTTTGAGAATAAAGTTTGATTATATTTTGAGTACCTTGAACAATGAGGGACACATATGAGCTTCATGATGAAGTAAATAATTTCACTGCAGCATAATAGTTTCCAGAGTTCAACACATGTATTTCTAAACTGTTATTAATACCGTGCCAACAACTTGAGAAAGTTTCTCCTTAAAACTTACATTTATAACTGTGAGCAGCTGTGGTCATGGTTAACTCAGCTGTGACATGCCCTCTACTTAAGCCCACTCGTTTTTTCCCTCAGGTGATTTTTGTTTGCTTGCTTTTTGTTTTCTTAGCCTACTAGGAGTATTCAGTAACCTTCATTATCTTTTTACATCTCTGTGCCTTTGCACCTGCGGGTCCCTGCTTAGCATGCTGTCTCAAGGTTTTATTCACCCGGAAGACATTCCTACTTATCCTTTAAGAAGCAGCTTAAACAATACATTCTCTAGGAAGCCTTCATATCTTCCCATCTTTTCAGGAAGAGTTAGGAATTCCTCAAGTCATACATTTATGCATCTATTACTATATAACAGGCACTGAACTAAATGCAAAGGATAGAAGAATGAAGCTGTGGATCCTGCCTCGTGGACCTCATAGTCTAGGAAGGAGGACAGCCATATGAACACATAACCACACTATAATAATATTATGTGCAACACCAAAAGGAAGATTTATGGAATATTGTGACATGTGTCAATTATTTTGTTAGGTGCTTTATTGAACATTATCTATAATCATGTGATAGGTATTTAAATTAGACAGATGTTCAGGAAACTCTAAGGACTGCTATAGTCTCAATCGTCTTCTGAAGAAACTGTCTCCAAGGGGTTCTTTTTGTATATACTATAGTCTGTGGGACAGATATTGCATAAAACCAATCCTACTTCTTTGATCACAAAAGACTGGACCAGGACTCAGAGCCCTAACTAAGGACAGGTTAAACTTGAAGGAGATCACCTAGGACATGGCTGGGCTCAAAAGGAAGTGTTTATGCACAGAGCAGACCAAGAATGTTCTGGAAGTCAGTATTCTAAGGGATGTGAAGTAGGAGGGGGCACACTAGGTTTCACCATGATCAAATTAATCTATAATTCCAACCTGGACCTCTCCCCTGAGCTCTAGACTGCTATCTGTCTGTCCCTCTTACTTAAATAACACATCAATAAAGGCAAGAGCTTAATCTCTAGTTTGTTTGCCACAGCCTAGAACAGACACTGACTTATAGTAAATGCTTAATTTAAAAAATGTTGAATAAATGAATAAGTGAACAAACTCTGGAAGCTAAGGAATCTACAGTGGACGGGGGAGGGGGGGTGTTAGGGAGGAGGGTTACCACGAAATAAGACTCCAGGGATCACTTACAAGTACAGTTGATCCTCATTATTTGTGGATCCTGTATTTAAGAATTAGCCTACTTGCTAAAATTTATTTGTAAATCTAAAATCAATACTCATGGCATTTTAACAGTCATTCACAGATATGCAGAGAATGGCAAAAATTTTGAGTCACCACTCACATTTTCAGCTAAGGCAGAACAAGGCAATGCTCGCTGCCTTCTTTCAGCTCACACAGAGATTACTAAAGGACACAAACGGTAGGGGGCAGTGCAGTATAGTGCAAGAAGCTTTGCCACTGGAGCCAACAGAAAAGGGTCTGAATCCTAATTCTGGCACCTGTTAGGGAGCAGCGTCAAGGAAGTCACTTAACACTTCTGAACCTCATTTTCTTTTTTGTAAAAATAAGAAAACAGAATATACTACAATGAGTTGTATTTAGTTAATTTAAGATTATTTTCCCTGGGAGCAATGGTTCAGTATTTGCTAACTTAGTGACCTAGGTGACTTTATAGACCATGATTACTATGAATAATGAGAATCAACTGTAATTTATAACAAAATAAAATAACAGATTATTTATAACAAAATAACAGAGATATCAAAAACAATTATTTTGATGGAGTGGAAGCCAGTGGCAAGCTTCAAGAAGATTTTGAAATAGAACCTCACTAGGCACATACGCTGTGGAAAGGGCTTCAAGAATAGGGAACAGCACCTACAGAGAGAAGCCAAGGTGTGTGAAATAAACAGGTTCAGGAATATGGCACTTCAGAAAGTCTAGAACAGCAGGAGATGTGACAGGGTTCTGGCACGGGGCCACAGCGCTTCTCTGGGTCCTGTTCACATCCTGTACTGCAGAACCTTTCCCTCGACAGTTAATTCTTGGTTTACAAGTTTTCCTTCCATCAAACTGTGAACTCCTTAAAGGCAAGATCTCTACAAAGAAATCATAACTATAGTCCTTTAAATCTGCAAACAAGTAATTATAAGTACAAATCCACATGAAAAGACTGTACAAAAATAACTTTGGTTTCCAACTGCAGCCTATACCAACTCGTAATAGTGACCCGCTCACAGATTTGCTGTTTGCCCAGGACTTTTCTTTTTTGATTGCTAGTAATTCTATTATAATTCTTTTTACTGTTCTAAACACCTGGGAATTTGTTGAAATAGCTTTAAGATCTTCCTCTTTTTAGTATGATTTATTAATAGGGCTCAAACATATGGTCCATTAGACCATGATACCTCCTCATAGCAAAGATTCCTTTTAACTCACTCTACTAGACTTACTTCTCTATACATAAGATATAGTATTACCATGGCAAAATGTAAGGAAGCACACATATGTTACAAATAGAATAAGAAAAACAGTAAGAATTTTTCACAAAAGCTTGCAAAATTCTGGCCAAAACAGTGTGGATGTGATATTAAATTCACTGCTTACAATTCATCACTGAGAACTAGGAAAAACAATTCCAACTTATGTAAAGTCATGAAACTAAGCACTGTTAGAATCTACAAGGTTTTGTACACGTACATTTTCTCTCTTCCACGTGTACTCTCTTATACATGCACAGCCTAAGGGGCCCATCAGGCTTATCCCAATACTTCAATTTCCCCTACCCCCAAAAACAAAACCCTGTTACAAAACCCTCCAATATCTAGGTTAATATTTTTAAAACTCTAAAGTTTCAATCAAATCTAAGTGTAGTGAGTTACTTTTCCCCCATAAAATTCTTGGCATAATTTTATTTAGGCACAACATAGTTTGTACAATTATCTAGAACATATGGCTGCAATCAACACTGCTGAAACCCAAACAGATATACTATGAAGGTGAATACAAATTCTCTGTGAAAGGGGAATAGAGAAAGTTATTTTTAAACAGTTTCAATGCTATACCATCCATAGGTTGGATGTGAACAAATCATACTGTGCTACACAGCTAAAGTATGTTCCATAATTTATGACAAACTAGAGTGATCAGGCCCTCACACTGCAAACTCTCTGCTACCCCAGTTAAGCTGTTTAAAATGTAATCCAATTCTGTCTACTTAAAAAAATAGTAATACATTTTAAATTTCCTGCTGCGAGTAAATCCTTCTCACCTGCATTTTCAGAAATTATCACCAAAACAACTGTTTTGGGACAAAGATTCTAGAGAGGATATAATGACCCAATGCTATTTTAAGTAAGACAAGAATGGTTTACCTTGAACAAAACCGATTAAGGTTCCCAACCTTGTAAAGAGTGGATTCTGCTGCTCTGGTGTTCACCTTCCAGCTGCCTGGAAGGGGCAAGTGGAAAATGTTAGTTTCCATGACATGAGGATGAAATTTACGGGGTGGGAGGAGGGTAAACGACTCATTTTCGGAAGGGAAGGCAGAAGAAGGGAAGGCAGAAGAGAAGTGGGCAAGGTCCCTAACCCAAATTAGGTATAAAGAATGAGAGGCTGGAGAAAAGGGGGTGGGTGGGAGTAGAATAAACGCAAAACTCGCACAGGAGCCCGCGAATGGGGGAGGGGCAAAAATGCGCATCTCCTCCCCCTTCCCGCCAGGGGAAGGGGGGCAGGGGGACGCAGCGCTGGTTAATGTGCCTAGCAGTGCTGCACTGAGGTAGTAAAGGGCTCGCAAGCCAGAGATTTCAGTCCGAGTGTTAGAAGGGGGCCGAGGGAAGTTGGGGGGAGGGGGATTAATAGCGAGCCTTTGCGGGGGGGAAAAACGACTAAGAATCCCCGCGCCTCCAAGGGGCTAAGGGACTAAGGGGCACCGCAGTGGACGCGACATGGGACTTGCCGGCTTACCCTCCCCACTGGAGCTCGGGCAGCCCCGAGGGCGGCGGAAAGGGAGGCGCAGGGCGCCCCCAAAACCTGGAGAGCGGCGCTTCCCCTGGGTCCCCTCCCCGGCAGCCCGAGCCCACCTGGGCTGACCAGAAGTCCCTCCTTCAGACCCTACTCCGCCGCTCTTCCGAGAGCCTCAGCCGTCGCCGCGGAGGTCGTCGCTGCCGAAACAGTCTCGGCCTCTAGCACCCGAGCGTGAGCCACAGCACGGAGAAGCGCCCCTACCACTAGCCAGGTTGCCTCTTACAGCACACTGACTCCTCACCCCGCCCCCGAACCCAAGCCATTGGTTGCTGGGCACCGCCCTATTCGTCTATTGGACCAAAGAGGATGCCGCTCAGTCACCTAAAAGGGCACGTGTGGTGCTTATTGGCTTAAATGTGAAGTACTTCCCGCCCACACCCTCAGAAGTTCCAGCTTCTGATTGGTATGAACAACTGTCTCTTCGCTCCCTTGGTTCTTTCCCTCCAGGTGGAGCGCCCCTTTGCGGGAGACCCCGGCTCTGATTGGCTGAAAGGGCGCCGTGCGAGTCCTGGATAGGCATTGGGCCAAAGCGCGCGGCGTCCTGCTGGGTGGAGCCCAGGGAGCAGCACCTCCGCGTTTGTTTACACAGGCTCTCGTTCCCCCTCCCTTCCATTGGTCGATCCAGCAGCCCCTCCCACGGGCTGTGATACTCAGCGTATCGGGGGTGGGGGGACTGAGTGGGATTTCCCTGCTATCAATTACCAAGGGAGGAGCTTTGAGCGAAGCTGGCGGGGAGATGGCTCTGGCGGAAAACTGGAGAGTTGGGCTCTCTGGAGGGGCTGCAAAGCAGCAGAGTGACTCTTACACATTTATAGAAACAAACCTAACTTCTCCAGTGTTTTTAAAAACAGAAAATCCTATTTTCCCTTTGGGTTTAGGGTGTCCAATCATTGCTCGCTAAGGACTTCTAATTTATTCATCAGGAAGTGGGGACTTGTTTATGGAAGTATTACTTTACACGTTTTTGTCTCTCCCCACCTCTCTTATACATAACACAAAGCAGAGGCTTGGTAAGTGATTGCACAATAAGTGGATAAATGATAAAAATGAAAACGACAGTTAATGTCAGATTAAATAACAATAGTGAAATAAATGATATATACTCTTTATATAAATAATGTAAATACATAAATAATTAAATAAATTCATTCAACAAGTATCATTGAGCATATGCTCTGATCTATGCTCTGTATTCACGATATGAATAAAACAAGCACCCATGGTGCTTGTTTTCTAGGGGAGGAGACTGACGGTAAACAAGTAACCAATAAATAATAAAATGTCATGCTGTGATTAAGTGCTACAAAGAAAAATAAAGCAAGGTAAAGGAATGTTTTAGGAAATAGCTATTTTGGGTAGAATGATTAGTTTAAGAGCTGTCTGAGGAAGGAGCATTGAACAGAGACGTGAATAATGCGAAGTGAAGGGTAGACAGGTGGTTGATAAGCAGGGCCAGTACACTGCACAACACCAGTAACACTAGTCACATTGCTTCATATATTTCCGATCCTTTCAGGATTGCCTGCTCTTGTTTTAAACTTATCTGATTAAATAATTTAAATGGGTCCAACAAGATACACATCTCTTTTAGAAAAAAACAATTTGTCTCCAAGATAACTTCCCCATACCATCCACTGCTTCTTTTCCTAAGGTGGCCTTTAGGTGTATGGTGCAATAGGGGCTTACACTATCTCATAGCTTTGAAAAACAGGGTCTTCAGGTTCATATGGGATCCTTGGACAACCAGAAATACTCTTCAAAGATGAAGATTTATTACCGGGAGAGCAATGAGATGTGGTTGGTGGGCTCCTGTTGTTTCCCTCCCTACCACTGACACTGTGTCTTATAAATTCATTACTGGATATCACCAATGATAAAGAGAAAATCTTAAAAGCAGTCAGGAAAAAAAAAAGGTATATTACATCCAGAGGGGGAAAAAGATAAGAAATACAGCAGACTTATCAGAAACTATAGAAGCCAAAAAAGACAAGGAGGGAAGTAGCCATGTGGATATTTGGTAGTAGTATTCAGAATAATTAGAGTCCAAAGGGCCAGACAGGAGACAATGACCAGTCATGAAGTCATAGGGGATGGTATCAGTTGGAGAGAGGGAGACAAGAGGAGTTCATCAACCTTTCCCCACATCCTATTGCTGTCATGGTGATAAGTCTTCTCCTTGAAGAGTGTCTTTTATTTTTATTGTGGTAAAATACACATAACATATATTTTACTATTTTTGCCATTTTAAAAATCACAGTTCACAATTACATTCACATGGTTGTGCAACCATCACCACTATCCATCTCCAAGACATTTTCACCATCCCAAACTGAAATTCTATACTCATTAAGCAATAACTCTCCTTGCCGCCTTCCCCCATTATCTGGAAATCACCATTTTACTTTCTGTCTCTATAAATTTGACTACTGTAGGTACTTTATAAGCAGAATTATACAATATTTGTCCTTTGTGTCTGGTTTATTTCACTAGGTATAATGTCTTCAAGGTTCACTCATGTTGTAGCATGTATCATAATTTTATTTTATTTTAAAGCTGAATAATTTTCCTCACTATTTATATATACTGAATAGTATATACGTATGTATATATTCCACCTTTTGTTTAACCATTCATTCACTAATGGAATTTGACTATTGTGATTAATGCTGCTATGAACATTGGTGTACATATTACCTGTTCAAATCCTTGCTTTTAGTTCTTTTGGGTATGTACCCAGAAGCAGAATTGCTGTAGCATATGGTAATTTCATGTTTAACTTTTTGAAGATCTGCTATACTCTTTTCTTCAGCAGCTGCACATTTTACATTCCCATCAATAATGTACTGTACAAGTGTCCCAATTTTTCCACATCCTCACCAACACTTATTTTCTGTGTTTTTTAAATAATAGCTGTTCTAATGAGTATAAAATGGTATCTCATTGTGGTTTTGGTCTGCACTGTCCTAATTATTAGTGATGTTGACCATCTTTTCATGTGCTTATTGGACATTTGTATATCTTCTTTAGAGAAATGTCTATACAAGTCCTTTGTACATTTTTAAATCAGGATGTTTGTTTTTTTGTTTTTGAGTTTCAGGAGTTCTGTATATATTCTGGATATTAATCCCTAATCAATATATGATTTGCAAATATTTCTTCCATTCTTGATAGTTGAAGATGACCAAATGGCTAGTTAAAAACAGGAATCCTGCTATTAATTAAAAAGAGAATGGATTTAAAGATCACAAAAGAGCTGGAAGATAAATATGAGGAAATGTCCCATAAAGCAAAATAAAATGTGATGGAAAAAAGGAGAAAACTTGAGAGAAATGTTCTAGAAATAGAGACTAGAGGGGAGGATATACATTAAATATCAAAACTATGTCTCATAACTGAATTAACCTGAGTCCTTTAATTGAAAGGACTCAAGCGGCCAAAACTTTGAATAAAAAACGTTCACACCAGTAATAACTAACACTTGTTGAATTTTTGCTATGTGTCAGGTACTACTTTAAGCACTTAATATGTATTGACCCATTTAACCTTTAATACAACAGCCTGAGTGCTGTTATTATCCCCATTTTACAAACAGAAAACTGAGGTGGAAAAATATTATGTAATTTACCCAAGATCATTCAGCTAGTATGTGGAAGAGCTATCTTGTGGTCACTCTGCAGATGAGGAATGGAGTTGAATGTCAATACTAATGACACCACATACATACTGAGAAGACATGAAGAGATTTATTATTTGTACAAGGAGGTCTTCCATACCTCTGGCTCCCAAGCAGGGCAGGAAACATCCACCTCCAAATACCATCACATTGGGGATTAAGTTTCAACATATGAATTTTAGAAGGAGGGAGGGAGGGA